TTACTTATATTTTCTGTGGGGGCGATTTTTTTTTCCTCAACTGTATATTACATATATTACTATTATTACCGTTATGTATTACTAGGTATTACATTGATAAATTGAATAAATGATGTCTAAATTAAATTTTTAGTTATTGTTTTCTATTCAAAATTATCATGAGGGCTATAATATGAAAGATGCTAAAAAGAGATTTCGTTTTTTTTTGCTCTTCGCCATGGGCTAATATCAACTTACATAAAAATATTTTGGGGTAATGATTAAAAAAGTTCCCCGACCGCTGGGTTAGACGAAGCTCTTCTGACGTCACCGAATATGGGCATAATACTTTAAGACGCTCTATCTGGGCAACGGATCATCGTAAAACAGCGAAGTTTTGATGATTTTTTCTTAGATATTTTCGTATTAAAACTTTAAATTTTGGTTCACATCCCCTTCAATTTCAAATGTAACGCCTTTGTGAAACTACTTCATCCAAGAATTTACAGCTTTTTTAAAGAAACGCAAAACTTTCTAAAAAGTAAATATTGCCGACGCTCGTCAAGGAAAGGGTGGTTCAGAGAGGAATGACTGCGATCATTCGGCCGCTGTTGAAACAGCTTGGAACAGCTATTGTAATCGCGACTGCCTCATGTTGGGTCACAATAGCAATTGCTCTAGTCGTACGGTAATACTACAGACGTACAGAATGGACGCGTTTTCCCTATCCGGCCATAAAGTAAATACATGCAGAAACGCGTAAGAGAGAAAAAAGCAATCGTGCAGACAATAGTGCCTTTTTCTAGAAATTTGATTCGTCTACATCGCAGTCTTGCAGGAGAGTGATCAATTTCATGAGAGTCGGCACTCCGGTTTCTATTCACAGTCGATATGTCCCTTTTAAATGTGTATTAATTTTTACTAATTTCTTTTCTGACTTAGAATCATATAATCACAGTATGGAAGACAACACATGAAATAAGTGCTGTCATTGCCATGTTTTTTGAAGTGAAACTTCTTTACGCACGGTAGGGTAAGTTCGTTTTATGCGAGTTGCTATGTAACGAAATCATGCAACGGATGTCCCCCCTTTACTCGACCACGTAGTCGAGTTCGTAGTGGGAATCGTTTGAGCAGTGAGCGCGCTTCAATGCAGCGTTCGTTACAGGCAACTCCGGCATGTATAGTGTAAAATTTAAATTCATAGTGTACAAATAATACCATTAAACCAATTCCTTAACCCCTATCGCAGTATGTTTGTGCGTTTGAAGAAGTTTCACTTCAGTAGCGTGTCGTATAATTACACGTTGTATTTTGTTTTTTTTTATTACTTATTCTGAAAACATTTCTCCATACTCTCCTCTTTTTTGTTTGATACATCCGCGTCTTAGTAATTTATTTCCAAGTTCCAGCACGATACAACAGAGGTCAAATAATCGCACATTCCTCACTGCACCAACTCATCTTCAGAGGGTGCTATATGTTATATATACTGCCGTAAATCAACACAGACACATGTCATATGCACTTTCCTAGACCTATCCAAAACCTTCTACTCAGCTGATCACAAACAATACTCCATAAATTAAAGTAAGAAAAAAAGTAAATAAGTTTACCTGCATCCAAAATCTTGCCCAGTCTGAAAATTGCAAGTGTATAAGATCTGCATTGGAAACTTCTCCCTGACTTAAACTTTGAGCGACTCTTTCTAAAAAGGTTGACAATTCTAGTGCTTCAGCCACTAACGCTCGTACCACTGCTTTATAGTGTGCTTCAACCTGTTGTACAGTAAGTGTAGTAAGCCTTTTTTCACATCTTTTAATTATATCACTTGAATTTAGTAATCTTTCACTGTCTTCAGCATCTTTTTCTATTCCTTCATCTTCTGTTTCATGATGTAGATTTTTTTCGCCAGGCAACATATCAGTTATTAATTTTTCAAGATCTGAGTCAATAAGCCTTTCATGATTATTGTCATTTCCTTGATCAAGTGCTTGATAAATAACCAAGCCTAATCCACATACCAAATCCCGTTCATCATCAGGCTTTCTTCTGCAACTTGCATCCCCAAACAACGTTTTTGAATGGATACTTCCATCTGTCTGTAGGTATATGTGTTCTATCTCAGAAGGGACATAGCAATCGCTCAATGGATTTGAATTAATAACCGCAGAAATGTATTTACTGCACTGGTAACAGAGTGCCCATGCATGTTCTTCTCGTATAGGTGAATTAAAAGAACTTAATATATCTCGTAAACTAACACTGCCATCTGAATTAACTTTACATTTCTCACTGCCAAGAGACATTTTTAAGAATAAATGTTTTCAAAACCAGTATTCTTTGAATCATTTGTTTTAACTGAATTCTATAAATAAATATTATACATCACTTTTTTAAATCTAAAAAGGTATTTAAAATTTAAGGGTAAAATTTTAAATTCAAAAAATCGATAATTTACCAGTTGTTTTCCTCATATCCTATTCTATGTCCATTTTCATATACATAACGAATAACTATTTACTCTATTTACTTGTACTACAAAAAAGAATATTAATGCTAATTATTGTTGTAAAGTATATTAGTAAACTATTATTAACCATATCATTAACTCTAATGAATTTTATCTATGTATATTAAAAATGATAATACGATGAGCCACGAATACAGCCGAATGTCTAAAGCTGTATCATGTAATGAAATGCAGGAACGGCTTTAGTGACAGGAAAAATCGAATACTTTTATGAATCGAATACCTTGTACTCGAATACTTTTGGGAATCGAATATTTTCAGCAAGTATAATATAAATAAACAATAGGATTACCAAAACGGTTCTGTTACATACAGAGGAAGAGGATTGAATAAAAAGTGTGCCGTCGGGGAATCTCCATCAGGAGCAACTCGAACGTGATTTGGAATAATATCTGTACATAATGTGCACCATTCCTGAGTCATAGATAAAAATATGATTATACTAATGCCATTGAAAAATTTAATCATTAGTAATGAATAATTTAAAAATGAACTTCGCTTTCAATAATAGTTCATTTTTCAAGCACAAATGACATGCAATCATTTGGGGTCAATTAAATTATCGTACTTCAGTAGTTTTTGAATAAATTGACATTTAATGTCTACCAGCACCCGAAATAATTTTCCTTTTTTTAACAGAACGAATGGACGCACAATTATTATACTTATATATTTAAAACCTGCAAATGACGCACAATTGATTAGTAAAGTTTGAATTAGTAGATTATATCTATCGGGTGCCAGATTCACACGACTTATTTTTGCGGCTATCTATGTATCAGTGATTTTCATATTGTGATGTTTTATTTTGTTATGGTTTGTGGGTTTTGTTGTCAGAATCTAAGGATCAAATGATCTCAGATACGATGGGTTAGAAATGTGCATAGATAATGGAAATGTGCCATAATTTTTTACTATTTTATACATTTTCTACATGAATAATTATAATTTAGTGGCTGTAATTGCTAAAAAAGAAGCAGTGTAATTACTTTAATAATGGCAAGTATATGTGCTCGACGTTTGTGTCAGAGAAAACTATCGTTGGCTATCCGTCAACATAAACTATTAATGAAAGTATCACGTTTAAATAAATTTCATTTTTATGCGAACAACGAAATTTATGGCAGCAATTGGCGAATGTCACAGGTATCTTTATCGTCACCGTTATTAACGAGATCTCTCTCAGAACAGAAGAAAGAATCTAATCAAGGCAAAGATTTACATCCCAAACAAAAAACTACTTTATTTCAACGATTTAAGCAAATGTATAGAGATTACTGGTATGTTCTCGTACCTGTCCACTTAGTTACATCTGCTGCATGGTTTGGAGGGTTTTACTATTTAGCAAAGAGGTAGGATTCAGATACTGTGATTACTTTTTTTAAACAATTACTGTTTTGTTAATACTATGTAGATAGTAAGCAACATACATCATCTAACAAGTTCCTTATAAAATATTTATTGTAAACTGTAATAGTATTGTTATGCTGCAGTTGCATAACATTGTGATTTTTGATTTACAATGAATATTTTACTTAAAACTATAGGTATATAGATATGTTTCAGCCAAAGTAATTAACCTGGTGCTACCCAATCATTATATGTACTTATATAAGTAATATCTATCCAGTTTAGACAAAATGGAATTAGTCAATTCCTGTAACTATTTTACAAAATATCCAATAGAGTAGAAAGTATAGCTATAGCCGAATATAGAATGGTGCTAAAAAAGGAGGACTTGTAACTAGCAAAAATAGTAAAAATTAAAAAAAAACCAGGACAATCACAAGCTTTGGTGAATGAACTCAAATTATGGTTATGGTTGCCCAATATGTGCAAGTTGTCCTAAGTGTTTTCATTTTTACACTTTTTGCTTGGTAATGTTACTAGATAGTTTATAGAATAGCCACATTATTTCATTAATTATGTTACGATAATTATTTTGTTAAAAATGGGGCATATAATGGCTCACTGGTATAAATAATATCAATATTAATTACATATTTTACCTGTAACATATCTACCTACTTAAATTCGACAAGTATTGGACTGTTCCTAATTATTTTGACTGCTTTTTTTCAATATATTTATTCAAAATGTTTAAATTGAAAACAGATATTTTTACCAGTTGATTGTGGTATGTTTACTTTGAAAGCATGAATACTTACCTGTAAAGGAAACATCAACATTGTACTGTAGGCATTATAAGCTAGTAATTTCCAGTGACAGTGAAACTTTCAGCTATAAACATCGTTACTAATATGACATTCAGTTACGTGTTGATTAAACAAAATTAGTGGAGTTCAGGAGAAATGGACACCCTCCCATTGATTTAAAATTTTTACCACATACTCATAAGGTTAAAAGACTGGTTTCTGATTTTTCCTACATACAGAGAATACTTGTGAAGATTAAAAAACAAAGGGGTGTGGGGTACAAAAATGAAAACATAGGTTAAAGGAAATACAGTGATGCAGGTCCTATATGCTAGAACCCACCTGTTCAAGAGAAAAATCGGCCACAATTCGTAAAGAGCATCTCACTCCAATAAATGTGTTGAGGGTGAGGCTGGATTAAATAAAATGCATTTGATTCATAAACGATGCTATTCTAACTTTATTACAGAAAAATAATCTAAATTTTGTACAAATTTACGACAACTTACAACTAAACCTTCTTAAAAACTACTCGTATTGGCGCGAATCATACCTTGCGGTCTTTTTGCCATCACGCACGTCCACGAGCATCCATCGTTGCGCAGTCCGTGTCCCATAATCGGCCATTTAGTACCCCGGCGCATTCCGGATGTTCATTTTCCGTCAACGTCGAAACGCGCGAAACTAATCCCACACACATTAATATACAACTAAGCAGCGTGGCCGCAACAAAATGTATTAACAGAACAGTGCCTTTTTTTATTGCTTAAGATATGATATAAAAACAATATAACGAAATGAGTTGTCAATGAACATTGGTCAAGCTTCTCTTATTTACAGGAAAATTGATAGGTATGATATAATTTACTGAAACAGAAGTTTTTTCTTTTGAATGGGAGGATTCCAACAACACGACCGTAATCACTGTATTCTCGTTGACCTAAACTTTCTAGCATCACATAATGTCCAGCACACGGCTAGCAATTCATCTAAAACTACTGGATTGTTGATTTTTTTTCTATTGATTTTATTATTGAGTTTAAATTTAAAAAAAATACATAAAGTCAAAGATCCCGCGATTTGTTATTTAGTTCTCTTTAGGATTAGCCATTGGTAACGGCAAACTGTTAAAGTATTCCGCACTGTAAATTAGTCAGTTATTACTTAAGAAGCGCCATCTGTCGGTACATGTGCATGCAGTACATGCTTAATAATAATATATTGGGTATCTCACGGTGACCACCCATTAGAATATATCGGAATTTACTTCGATTCATATTTCTAAAATTTAGGCAATAGCATTATTGGATATGCTCTCTTTAATTAAAATAACGGCGTCCATGTATCACCTCCAGTTTACATAAGGTACACAATTTTTAAATTTAATTTAATGCTGACTTGTACTCTTTGATAATCTTTAATTAATGATAGCTTATAGCATCTAAATGTGATTTACTATAGTCTTCTAAAATAAAAAAAATTAGGTTTCGTTTAAATGGCAGCTATGTGAAATATGGGTCCAATAGAAGAAAGTTATAGGAAAAAAGTTGTTCAGAATGTCAAAGTATAAGAGCTATGCAAAAAATCGCACTGATATTCAAATGTTTTTTTTTTTTTCGAGTCAAATGACCCAAACAGTTCGCAATATGCTCATCGTGGTCAAACTATAAGTATCGATTCCGGTAATGCAAAAAAATCATTCAACGATTGAACTCTTCATGGACCTATCGTGAAGTTCAAGCAATTTTAATTCTTCGGTGACAAGATATCTATTGTATTACTGTAGTCTTCGTTTTTTAGGTATCCCCATATGTAAAATTCGAATGGTGTAAACTCTGGCAAGCTGGGGGACCTCGTGATATTCGAAATCTTGGATATAACTTTCTGATCAAAGTAAAAACTAGTCCATCGTGTAATATCGTGTGCTCCATCCTGGTGGAAATACAATTTGCGTCGCAACTGTGACAATAACTGTGACCTTACGGCTATTTGCTTCTGCGAGAAATTCAATGAAACAGTTAGCGCTTCCACATTTTGGTGAATTATTAAAAAAAAGTTTAAAGAAAGTGGTAAAATGTAAACAACAGGTTTAGAACAAAGCATGAAAGCTAGGCTAATAACGACGACGTAGAATGGACTGTGTTGCTTCATATTCAAATTCAGAATCCGCGTACATCAGCTCTTCAGTTGACTCGAACTACCAACTTAAGCCGAACAACTATTCAGAGGGTACTCAGAAAACATAAGTTGAGACCCTTTAAGTCTAAGTATGTTTGCAGGGTGATCCTGACTAAAGGCTGAACTTCTGCTTCTGAGTACAAGGTGAAATCGAGGATGATTCACATTTTTGCACGAAACATTCTGTTTACCGATGAAACCACTTTTTACCCCATTAGTATGGTATACCCTCAGAATTATCGATATTGAGTAACGGAAACCCCGAACTTTATTATTGATTCCAAAGATCAATACTATGGCAAAGTAAACGTGTGGTGAGGAATTTCGAATCACCATGTAATTGGGTCATACTTTTTATCAGAAAAATTTAATGCAGCTGCGTACTTCTGCATTAGCGACGGAAGTTATATTTCCAGCAGAATGGGGCTCCGTGCCACAATTCACGGAATATGAGGCAATGGATGGATATTAAGTTTGGTGAAAGGGTCATCTCCACATTTTCAAATATCAGGTGCCCCCCCACCCCAGTCACCAAATCTTACACGACTATAGGAATACCTAAAAAACGAAGTGTATAGCAATAAGAACTGAATGAATCTTACCAAAAACTGAACACATGCCATAATTTTCAAATAAACGGCTCTTCTTAGAACTACAAACGGCTCTTTTCAGAACCACAAGTGTATATCAGAATCGAACATGTTAGATTGCTGCCGAAGCTTTCAGAAAAAATAATAGTAAAGCATTAGTTGTTTTAAAGTATTATAAAACACCTTCAAATCCAGCAATTAGAAACTGTTTATGAATATTATAAAACCCCAAATTATAGAAAGAGGTTTTACTACAACAAGGGAATGTAAATTCACAATCATTTAATCACTTAAGCTACATTTAATTAAAATAAAAACATCAACATCAAATTTTAAACAAAATCTATTCCCAACTGAACATTTTTTTCTTATTAGTCCAGTTAACCAACGGTTTAGTGTCCGAATTCGTTCAAGAAACTCCGATTGACCTCGAATTTTGACAGTAAGTAGGGAATAGCATTAGATTAAAAAGTTATATATTGCCAAATTGGTGTTTCTTGAACTGATTCGGAGGTTTGGGCTATTTTCTTGAGCTGAACTATAAAACTTTTTTCGAATGGACCCGTGTCCACATAGCTGCCTGTCATTTAAACGAAACCTTATTTTTTCTATTCTCGAACACTCTAAAACATCTGGACCTTTGTCATTAATAGATCAAGCTTGTTTACATTCACTCTAACTTAGTTTCCTTACATTCTTCCTATATACTGGGTGGCCCAAAAAGTACGCTATATACCCATTGTGGTTAAAGTAAAAGTTAAATAAAAAATTTTCCAAACAAAACGTGTTCCCTGTTTTAATACAAGATCGTCTATAGCATCTTTTTTACTAGTTGAAAAATTGAAAGAAAGGAAAAAAGAAGGTTTTGTTTAAATAGCAGCATAACTAATATGGGTCCAATCGAAAAAAGTTCTTCAGAATGTCAAAATATGAGACTATGCAAAAAAATGGTGGCGATGTTTGTGTTTTTTTTTTTCGAGTCTTATGGCCAAAAAAGTTTGCAATATTCTTGTGGTCAAACTATAGGTTTAATCGAAAAATTTTTCAAATAAAACTTGTTCCCTATTTTAATACAAGATCGCCTGTAGCATCTGTGATTTTTTTCACTAAAATAATTTCAACTGCCCGTCCTTCCGGTTATACTGAAAGTTAATGCCAACTTTGTTATTTTAAATGGAGTAGTATATTTTTCGTATGAAACACAAAATTTTAAGGTAACATTGTTAACCAACTTATATGCCTACGATACCTGAAGAAGCGTTTGAGTTGTGGTGTCATATGATATTAAAAATACCCTGGATAGAAAAGGTTACAAATAACAAGGTATTAGAAAGAGTAGGAGAACAGAGTGTTATAGAAGTCAATTACCTGTATTAGAAGCATAAACAAAAGTTAAGAGCTAGAGATAGACCTAGATTAGATTACTGTTCGCAAGTAGAGATGTAGGTTGTTCTAGTTTTCGAGAAATGCGAAGATTGATTTAAGATAGGAAGAATTAGTTGCGTATCTTCGGACTAACGACGTAATAACCTGAGGAAAGATGATCGTATTTTTATGTTGTGCTAGGATTTGTAGTACACGTAGTAGCTGGTGTCATATATGTAATACTCCTATATGGACAGTTCCTATAGGAAAGAATGTACTGCTACTACGGTGCCGACTACATTTATTCTACCTCCGGTGATGACAGCTTGTCTATGCTGCGATTGTTTGAAAAATCCTTAAAATAATTACAGTGGGCACAGAACAGAGCTAAACACTATCTGCCTCATTTTGTCCGATCAGCTTCCACATATTATAGAAACAGTCCATATAGGAGTATTACATATAAGGCTGGTGCCCTGATGCGGAGTATAATCGTATGCGTGGCTTGCGCCGATGTTAAGTATACGTTTTTCATAAAGATTAGAATGAAGAAAAAAAGGTGTCCTGGACATTTAGGGAATAATGAGTCGCTGCGATTGCAATGCTATTTGAATATCTCATGATTGGGTGTAAATCCTACTTACAAATACCATTATCCAATCCATAACAAAGTAAAAATTTGAAGGCAATGTGAGTAGGGTTGCCACTTTTTTTTATATAAATAAAGGACGTTATTGAAGGTAAAAAAAAAGTACGAGGTGTCAAATAAAGTACAATTTATTTTACTCTATCATTTTGCTTAAAAACATACGTATTTTTCATTACTTTTAGTAACTTTTAACAAGTAATTATCACTGCTAAACAATTGCACATCATTTTTACACTTTTGATTTAAGTTAAACTAAATAAGTAGTCATTGTTTATCAGATTTAGAGACGCTTTATTTCCTTTGTCTAGCCATTTGATATTCACTAAAGAAAAAACTCTCCCTTTAAATGCTGATCATTAGAATTATATGTCTGATAATATAATTTATTTAATAAAGAAATTTCTCCTTAAAGATCATCCATATTTACATTATGTTTTTGCAGATTTAAAGTTTCGACTATTTTCAAAAATTATAAAATTTAACATTGCTTTTTAAATTTATATTCGTACAATCGCCCTTTTCTTGTATATTATATCTTAAACGAATCTCAGAGAAATTAATCATGTGAAATAAAGTAACTTTATTTGTCGCATAAAGTATAGAGTACAATTGTCCTAAATAAAGTACAACACTTTATAATAAAGTACGGGTGGCAACCCTAAATGTGAGTGTTTTCTCTTTCGGAATTAGATTTAAGTTATCACGAAAAAATGAAAGAAAAATTTCCTTCACTCCTTTCTTGTTCAAATCGCTAGAAATCCTTGCAGGTGTCTGTTTTCGGAACTCCAACCCAGATGGAATAATTTTATTCGTATTTTCTAGTAAGTTTATTTTTTGCCGTCGTCTTGAAACTTCTTTTGTGTTTTTTTTTATTGTAAACATATATTTTTTAAAAATAATTAAGTTCTTGATCGCAAATATTGAAACCAAATACATTTCTGACCAAGAACTTACATGTTCTTGTTGATATGGATTACCTACGTGCCTATCACATATTTAAACTGCGTCGTCATTTCAATCAGACAAATTGAAAAAGGATTGGGATCAAAAAAAAAATCAAAATTTCGTAAAAAGTAATACACATAAAACAACTTTTGAAAGACCAAATGCACTTTGAGAAAATAGCATTCCACTTTAAACAAAATTTATCCTTTGCTTAAAAATAGGTACGAAAAAACGATAGATCGCACACTAAAACGTTAGGTATGACAACTGAGTATACAATAGAACGCGAAGGAAATACGACAAATTAATAATTTTTGCTGTTTGGAGTACTGCTCACGTTTACATCTCGAACTTTGACAACGTGTGCGTAGATTTTAGTGAAATAATGAATTTGTGTAAAGAATTTATCTTCAATACACAATTGGCGGCAGCAATTTACATGTAATAGTTAAGCAATACTTTTGTATTTTCGTAATAAAAATATGTAGAAATATAAATATTTCTTCTAAGTATTAAATGTTTCTAATCCTAAACGTGAGTCTGCTATTTTGTATTACTTATGTTCAGACACATCGAGAAGTTTCTTCTAAAGTCCATAAACAGGTATATCTAATCCAAGTTGAAACCAGTCTTTTCAGTCGGTAACCTATCGTTTTAATGTGCAAACCATTAATTTTCACCATTTTCAATGTCCAAATGCAAAAGTCGTATGTTATTTTTTAATAGTGCAATTATATATTCCCCGTTGAAATACCTTGTCTGACGCTGGAAATACTTTAGTTGCGGCAAATACCTACTATGGCTCTATTTGAATATATTTTTTATTTTGCTCTTATTTCTTATTTGCTCATAAAAAAATATTAATATGACAAATATTTTATTTAAATAATTTGTTAATACTGTAACCTTTCATATTTTCAGTGGTGTAGATGTAGTAGCTATCTTGGAAAGCATGCACATCAGTGAAAGAATAGTTAATCCTTTAAGAGATTCAAGTTTAGGATACATAGCTGTATCTTATGCACTATATAAGATTGCTACACCTTTGAGGTATACTGTGACATTAGGTGGCACTACCATTTCTATTAAATTTTTAAAAGAGTGGGGGTATATTAAACCAGTTCCAAGTAAAGAGCAACTTAAAGAAATGTATAAAGAAAAAAAAGATTCATTAATAATAACAGTAAGAGAAAAAAGAGATGAATTAGTTCAGAAGAAAGATCAACTTAAAGATAAAAAAGATGCTTTTGTTGATAATCTTGAAACAAACTTAAAAAAAAAAATTAAAGAATCAGCAGGTGACATTACCAATAAAAAATTGTTTGGTCACTTGGAGAAAAATATTAAACAATCTGGGGATGATAAACATACCACAAGAGAGGATTTTTCAAGTGAAATATCTAAAAACCGTAAGAACTAATAGATTTTGTAATGATTTGCTAGCCTGTGACATTATCGTTTTAGGATGAATTAATATTTTTTAAAAGATGTAATAACCACTGTAAATTTCCACATTTTATGGATGTAAGTGTACAGATGTTTTTTGTAGTGAATAAAATTCTTATTATTTTTTGTTTAATTTTAAAATTAAATTATACCTGCAATTCTCCTAGAAATCCTCGAATAACTAACTTTATTCACATGGTAAGTGGTAAGTTAAAAAGTACTTCGTTTAATTTTTTTGTGGCTTGATTTAATAATGTCATGGGTTACTATTATGTTTAAATTAAACAGTTTTACTCCTGAATGTTTTAACTTTATTGATCAGATAATAAACGTGAACTTCGTTTTGTTAATCACCTGGGTAGCTGCACCACATCTTCAGTTCAGTGTGACTAATTATATTTTTAACTCAAAACGATCTTATCAATTTTTAAATGCCACAAGTAGCACATAATAATATGTCCCTACATGTAGTTTACTAGGTTATTATCTAAACAATTTATATGAAGTTTGAGGCAGAGGGTTTTTAAATGTTTGAAAATCAAGTAGGTATAAGCAGATTGTTTCATCAATTTACCTAATTTTGATATAAATCATATAATATATAAATAAAATTTTAATTTAATTATTCTATAAACCATACTTTATTTTAACAATTGTATACCAATTTTAGCATCACTCTGCAGCTTTAACTAATGCCTCTCCAACTTCAACTGCAATTGAAGCTTCAGCTCGAGCCTGCAAAAAAAATACCATTATTATTAAATTGTGTAACATTAAAATAAATATCTAAATACCTCATCGGTACTTGCTGATGACAATTGGCTCTGAGCTGCTGATAAAACGTCTTTTGCAGCGGTAGCATCAATTTGATCAACAGTGGCAGCTTCTTCAGCAATTATCTACAGTTAATACACTGTTAGTTCAAAATGTAAATAATGCTGTACTAACTTCATAATTACTTGAACTGAAGAGTCTTCATTGATTGTAACAGTTCCACTAGATACAAAAACCTTCTTTATGTTCCCATCATTTTCAAACACAGTAACAACACCTGGTTTTAAAATAGCTAAAGTTGGAACATGCTTTGGTAAAATACCAAAACTGCCAGAAAATGATGGTACATCTACTTGTTTTACTGATTGAGCATCGTAAAATACCTAAACAATTTAACTATTTGTAAATAGTTTTAAAAATTATACATTGTTGATTCAATAGGGTATTACCTGATTACCAGCAGCAAAGGTAAAACTCATTTCATCAGCATATCCTCTAACTAACGTTTTGCTGAATTGACGAGAGAAGAGACGAGAAAGTGGCTTTAACGCTGTCATGCTTTTGGAATAAATTTATCAATAAACAGTTTTATAAAGGCAAAATAACAGCAATATTACATTACTGTCCTGCGTTACATAATCATTTTATGATGAAAACAATACGTTACCTCACAATCCTATTGAATATGAATTTAATATACTTATAATTCTTTTAATAGTGCTTCAGTTAACTATTTTTACAAAAACTTGGAATATATTTTAATAAAAAACGGCTACCACTACTACCTTTCTGTGAAGAAATATATACTGACTGATTGCTGATAGTGACACACTGACAGTCTATTATCTATGCTGACAGTCTAAACTAGTGATCAAACGTTACCATAGATGGTAGATATACATAGGGCTATGTAGTTATTCATGAGCGTTACTAAATAGCAACCATAGACAAGATACCAACCTGCTATTTTTAATTGCTATTGTGAGACGACATACGACACAATCTCGGCGACGCCGACGTTAAAAACCGCAACACTTCGTAGCATTTAAGCAGACGCACAATAATTTTGCTGTTTTCTATAATTTTACTTCTGCTGTCTTTTTTATTCGTATTCAAATAAATGATTAAGATAAGTTCCAACCTCCTTAGCAGTAGTTTACAACTTTATTACTGCTGTTTAAGTAGGCAAGGTTTCAAGTAAACAGGAAATATGAATTAAAAAAATACCTCTGTACCACATAAAATGCGAATACTTTATTTTTTAATATAAATGATAAATAAAACGCGTATTTCAGACAACTTCATAATAAAATGAATATACGTATAACAGTAATAATTAATCATCTTAAGAATCGTAATTAACTATTTATGCTATCTCCTTGAACCAGAAAAAAAATTTTTAATTTCTTATTGGTTTTCTATTTGCTGTTAACAAAAAAAGGAATGCTTAGTTTAGTTAATTTTGGACTATTCAATATTTTTTGCCATATTTTTTCTATTATTATTTACAATAATCACATGATAAATGCAAATATAAGCTTTTGCTTTAAAAAAAGGCAAATTAAATTCACTACCAAAGTTCTATACTGTTGAATACCATGTTTCTTCTGTTCAGGATGGATCCATGAAGCTTCTTCTTCTTATTGTATACGTGATTTTAACTTTTGTAATGAATGCAATGACTAACATTACGTTTTTTTTGTATATTCTTCTTGCCTGTTCTGTTCTGTTCAGCCTAGTCCGGCAAAACAAATAAAGTGCATTTTCTTAAAAGTTTGTAAGGTATTTCCACAGATTAAATTCGCTTTTTTTTTAAAAAAATTGATGTGTAAAAGAGTGGTTCTTTTGACCGTAACAAATTAAAGTATTGTTCGTCCATACTACTTATTTTACCATCTTTATCATATCGGTTTTGCTGGCTTCTCCCCTATTATTTAAAATTTTAACTGCGCAAAAAATAACATCAACTGGACCTACATCTATACAGGTATGTATATTTTCATTACCAGCAATCACAAAATTGAACAGATACATACAGACAAGGATGTTTTTGTACGTTTGACGTGTTAAAACAAGAACTAGCAAATACTAGCAGATGTACAATATTTCGCAACTATTAGTGGTGATGATTTCCGTTTTTAAAACCAAAGTTGACTTGTTTAATTCCAGTTATACCTACTCAGAAAATAGACTTTTATATTCAAGTAAGTAGGGACTTACTTAGTATAATAATATTTTTTTTATATTATTTTACTAATAAATTAGTTTGATTTTTTAATTACTGTTCTTTTACCCTACCCCTAGCACCCACGGATCGGAATGACCCTGTGGCTAACTAATACCTATTTGGTTTACCATTCGCTTTCGAATATAACAATAAGTAAAATCAGAAAACGAAACGTTAAGCGTTTTCGAGCACCAACACTTTCTTGAAAAACCCTCGAAAATGTCAATGTTCTTTTCGAGGGGAGCTCTACCAGTATAATGCTCAACTCCAAATGCATATTAAAAATACCAAAAATATTAGGGAATTTACATACTAAGTTGAATAAGACGAAACGGTTTTAGTAATTTAAAAGTTGGATATCGTTGTAAAAAACCAAACCAGAATGACTAAGGATAACATAGTTGTTACTGTTCCATCTCGTACAGGCTACTGTATATATGTAATGTTTAGAAAAATCCATTCAATTTCAAAAACCTACTTCTGTAGTGAATTAAAAGCGCTTTCCAATGACGTACAAATCGATCCTGTTTGGATTTGAACTAGTTGAAGGGATGCATACCCCGCTTAGGGGTTGAAGGTGAACCTGTTAAATTCATGCCAACAAAATTGAGGCGTTTACTGCGCCATTTGTAGTATTTTCTAAAACGCACTGTTAAGACAGCAGGTAAAAGTTGGTCTGTGTTCTGTCTGAGCTGCCTGCGACGCGCTGATGAGATCCAAATGATCGAAATCGCGATTAGCGTCTGGCAGTTTCGACAGAATACAGACCACTTCGAATTATTTTATTCGATTAAGCTAACGTGCCTATCACGTTGAGGTTGGCTACGCCGGGATTCGTTTTCAGCAAGTAGATATCCACACAAGTGGACCTTGTTGGAGCATACGTAATCCTAAAAAGTAACATCGTGCTACAGATGGCGTTTACTGCGCCATTTGTAGTATTTTCTAATTTAATGTTAGTTTAATGAAGTTATAGAAATGTGTAATTAATATTCGTGTATTACTACAAAACAAATACTCAGTTCTCAGCTTCTTTACTAATAACTTACAGAAGCCAACAAGTTAACATCAAGTCTCATACATGGATATAATCAGTAACATATTAATATTAATAATCAAATGGTAAAATTTAACAGACTATAAAGTAATGCATATAAATTAATATTACCATATCAGATTAAAGAAAAAATAATATCCTTCTCATTAAAACAATATTGGAAAGGAAAAAATGAAAACAAATGCAACTTATATAGTAGCATTAGCATCAGCTGTTCCTTCTCTAAAACATACAAAGGAGGACTTACTGCGATATTACGAAAGAAAATATGACATAAAAACTAACAAAAGGAAATCAATAATTTAAATCATAAATAATTAAATAAAATTAATAATAGCGAATCTAAATAACTCCATATCTCCCGGGTTTGTTTTTTCCTTCGGAATTCTTTGCGATGAAAATAATTTTGCTCAAGCCATCGAGTGAACGGAATAGAATAGTAACACGAACATTTTTTTTTCAACTTGATACTTTCTTGCCGACCCTTGATGATATCGAAAAGGTTTTTATTATCAGTATTATTTTTATTTACGTTGTTAATCGTACAGATAGTGAAGGAGCAGCTGATTGGTTCAAAGCCTAGTTATTTTTTTTTCTGGGCCTTCTCAGCGGCTTTTGTAACTTTGCCTGTAGTATCCTTAAAGTTTACCTGCTTAATAACCCCTACAGCGACTGTCTGACGCATGTCGCGCACAGCAAAACGACCAAGTGGTGGAAACTCTTGGAATGACTCAACGCACATTGGTTTTGATGGCACAAGATTAATGATAGCCGCATCTCCAGACTTTATCGCTTTTGGATTTTCCTCGGTCGTTTTGCCTGTTCTACGGTCACATTTTTCCTTAATTTCAGCAAATTTGCAGGCAATATGGGCTGTATGACAATCAAGCACAGGTGTATAGCCATTAGAAATTTGGCCAGGGTGATTCAGTACAATTACCTAAAGAAATACAAAATATCTATAATACAATTCTAAATACACTTAAAAATAAAAATGACATGTTTTTCTTTAGAATATGCATGTATTAAATATACTATATGTTTTTTGTTGATTTTAATAGTTCAGTAAGTGTGATGATTTATCGTGCATTAAGCCTTTAATGAAGATAAAACTTCTTTGTCAATGTATCAATAAGTTGAGCAATGGTGAAAAAAAATTTTCACTCGGAAATAATATTTACTGTTGTTTATTGAAAGTTGTAAAATGTGTTTTTTTTTTGGCTTTTCACCACTTACGCAGCAATAGTGGTGATAAATACAAAAAAATCTCTATAAAAAAGTCCGCGAGAACACGTGTCAATGTAAAACAGATAAGAACATAAGAATATATAGTATCCTAAGCAAGCGCTCAAAAATATAAAAAAATCAATACCAACATTTATGAATTCAAACAATTTTTTTTTAATGAAACACCATATTTTGTTTGCTTTGAACATTCACCACATATAAGAATGGATTGAGATATAAACAAAGTGATCCAAGATTTATGCCACCATTTTTATTAACAATCTAAGATTCATTTGACAATCCTATTTCTTTTTTATTACGTTTATTGCAATTATTTTATTATCCCTCCTGGTACGAATGTAAGTGAATATTTGCAGAGAAAACCGATAATTATCAATGTTGAATCACATTACAGATATATTTTGCTATGGCAAATATATTTCCTACGAAATCCCCTTACATGTCTAAGTAGAATAAAAGAAAATGAGGAAGCCTTTTGAGAGAAATAATAAACATTAATCTAAGAAAATAGTGAAAATTATTCTAACATACCTGCGCGGTAAAGTCAGCAGCTCCTCGAGGTGGATTGTTTTTGGAATCACCAGCGACATAACCACGACGCAATTCTTTCACAGATACATTCTTTACGTTGAAGCCGACATTATCGCCAGGTACAGCTTCTTGCAATGCTTCATGATGCATCTCAACAGACTTCACTTCAGTTGTCAGACCAACTGGCGCAAATGTAACTACCATTCCTGGTTTCAGCACACCTGTTTCTACCCTACCTACAGGTACCGTTCCTATACCACCAATTTTATAAACGTCCTGCAAAAAAATAAGAAAAAAAACTTGTAACATATGTCATAACAGCAATACTTATCTAAATACAATATCACATAGTCGAAATTACCATTAATATTTACTAAAATACTGGTACGCAAGGGAAGAAAAAGTGAGGAAAGAGTGAATATAAAGATAGGACAGAAAAGGTTAGAAATGAAAAGGTGTTAGAAAGAACAGGAAAACAGAAGACTCTAAGGAAGTCAATAAGAAATAGGCAAGATAGGTTGATAGGACACCTTCTCAGACATGCAGGTTTAGTCAGGGACATATTAGAGGCAGAAACAGGGGTTAGGAGGGGTAGAGGTAGACCTAGATTAGATTACTGTTAGCAAATAGTTAAGGATATAGGTTGTTCTAGTTTTAGGGAAATGTGAAGTTTAGCTCAAAGTAGAAAAGATGGGAGTTACGTATCCAACCAGTCTTAGGACTGACGACCTTATGATGATGATGAATACTAATATTAATAAGCACGGTATTAAATTTTTTTTTTGGATACTTTCAAGTTCTTTTAATATCTTTTTTTTTGCATCTATTACCTGAAGCGGAAGACGTAGTGGTTTGTCGGTAGGGCGGCTCGGAGGTAAAATGGCATCAAGAGCTTCAATAAGAGTCTTGCCTTCGGCTTTTCCTTCTTTACGTTCAACTGCCCATCCCTTAAACCATGGCATCTTATCTGATGGTTCGAGCATATTATCTCCGTTCCATCCCGAGATAGGAACAAAGGCAACAGCGGCTGGATTATAACCAATTTTCTTAATATAAGATGACACCTCCTTTTTAATCTCTTCATATCGGGTTTCTGAATATGGCGGCTCTGTTGAATCCATTTTATTTACTCCCACAATCAGTTGCTTAACACCCAATGTAAATGCAAGTAGCGCGTGCTCACGAGTTTGTCCATTCTTGGAAATACCCGCTTCAAATTCTCCCGTACCTATCAAAAAAATGCTGTAACTACGTTTTTCAATAACAAAACATAAAGCTATTTATATTATTTTCATAAAGTATATTAAAATATACATATATTCCCCNAGCCGACATTATCGCCAGGTACAGCTTCTTGCAATGCTTCATGATGCATCTCAACAGACTTCACTTCAGTTGTCAGACCAACTGGCGCAAATGTAACTACCATTCCTGGTTTCAGCACACCTGTTTCTACCCTACCTACAGGTACCGTTCCTATACCACCAATTTTATAAACGTCCTGCAAAAAAATAAGAAAAAAAACTTGTAACATATGTCATAACAGCAATACTTATCTAAATACAATATCACATAGTCGAAATTACCATTAATATTTACTAAAATACTGGTACGCAAGGGAAGAAAAAGTGAGGAAAGAGTGAATATAAAGATAGGACAGAAAAGGTTAGAAATGAAAAGGTGTTAGAAAGAACAGGAAAACAGAAGACTCTAAGGAAGTCAATAAGAAATAGGCAAGATAGGTTGATAGGACACCTTCTCAGACATGCAGGTTTAGTCAGGGACATATTAGAGGCAGAAACAGGGGTTAGGAGGGGTAGAGGTAGACCTAGATTAGATTACTGTTAGCAAATAGTTAAGGATATAGGTTGTTCTAGTTTTAGGGAAATGTGAAGTTTAGCTCAAAGTAGAAAAGATGGGAGTTACGTATCCAACCAGTCTTAGGACTGACGACCTTATGATGACGATGAATACTAATATTAATAAGCACGGTATTAAATTTTTTTTTTGGATACTTTCAAGTTCTTTTAATATCTTTTTTTTTGCATCTATTACCTGAAGCGGAAGACGTAGTGGTTTGTCGGTAGGGCGGCTCGGAGGTAAAATGGCATCAAGAGCTTCAATAAGAGTCTTGCCTTCGGCTTTTCCTTCTTTACGTTCAACTGCCCATCCCTTAAACCATGGCATCTTATCTGATGGTTCGAGCATATTATCTCCGTTCCATCCCGAGATAGGAACAAAGGCAACAGCGGCTGGATTATAACCAATTTTCTTAATATAAGATGACACCTCCTTTTTAATCTCTTCATATCGGGTTTCTGAATATGGCGGCTCTGTTGAATCCATTTTATTTACTCCCACAATCAGTTGCTTAACACCCAATGTAAATGCAAGTAGCGCGTGCTCACGAGTTTGTCCATTCTTGGAAATACCCGCTTCAAATTCTCCCGTACCTATCAAAAAAATGCTGTAACTACGTTTTTCAATAACAAAACATAAAGCTATTTATATTATTTTCATAAAGTATATTAAAATATACATATATTCCCCTATGGTTCACATGTTAAGCATTGACTTCCATATTTCGTAATTTCGTAGGTTCTATTGCTATATAGTATATATGTTAGGGTCAAAGTCCGCCGACGACCATTACTAGTCGTAGACGTTTGAAGAGTAGTATAAAATGACCATGGCTAGCATAGCATTAAATTTTATTTTTATTAAACAAAAAGAAAGGTCTTGCCCCAACTAACCACAACAGTTTAAAAACAACGCGGACACGTGTTTCGCTCACTTACACGTTGTGCGCTTTTTGTTCGTCAGCCAATTTGAGAACTAGATTTTTTTCTGACATGACTATAAAAGTAACATAGAACTACTCCTCTTTCCTTTTCTGACGGAAATCCTAAACGATTGCAAGCGAAATTAATTTTCATACGGAATCAGAAGTTTACAAAAAAAAATTATATGAAAAACGAGTCTTTTGAGAGCGAATTTATTAAGAAATATTCGTTTAGGTCATTCTACTCCACAAAAAAAAAATTAAAAAAGAAATTATGATTCGAATTTAGAGATATTTTTTATTGTCACGGTATTAAAGTAAATGTAACAGACGAAACTCTCATTTTTACAAAATCACATTGCTAACCGAAATTCATAAATCAGAAGAACAAATTATCACAATACTTAAATATCATTTTGTTTCCCGTGGTCGCGGCAAACGCAAGTAATATTTCAGATATATTGGAAAAGTTATAAAAAAGTCAATATTTTACCACCTGGATTTGGCAATCAGACGATATACCCAAAAGTACATTTGGTCATTGGAAATATTCTAAGAGGTTTACAAAACGAATTTTGTTTTGTTTATTTAGACGATATTTTTAGTAGGTCATTAGAACATTTAGACCGCCATAAGAAAATTTTTGCATGTTACGGTAATAAAATTACAAAATTGAAATGGATAAATACACTCCTTGTGCTTTTAAAATTAACTTCAGGTCATATAAGTTCTAGAGCTATAATACAATTCTAAATACACTTAAAAATAAAAATGACATGTTTTTCTTTAGAATATGCATGTATTAAATATACTATATGTTTTTTGTTGATTTTAATAGTTCAGTAAGTGTGATGATTTATCGTGCATTAAGCCTTTAATGAAGATAAAACTTCTTTGTCAATGTATCAATAAGTTGAGCAATGGTGAAAAAAAATTTTCACTCGGAAATAATATTTACTGTTGTTTATTGAAAGTTGTAAAATGTGTTTTTTTTTTTGGCTTTTCACCACTTACGCAGCAATAGTGGTGATAAATACAAAAAAATCTCTATAAAAAAGTCCGCGAGAACACGTGTCAATGTAAAACAGATAAGAACATAAGAATATATAGTATCCTAAGCAAGCGCTCAAAAATATAAAAAAATCAATACCAACATTTATGAATTCAAACAATTTTTTTTTAATGAAACACCATATTTTGTTTGCTTTGAACATTCACCACATATAAGAATGGATTGAGATATAAACAAAGTGATCCAAGATTTATGCCACCATTTTTATTAACAATCTAAGATTCATTTGACAATCCTATTTCTTTTTTATTACGTTTATTGCAATTATTTTATTATCCCTCCTGGTACGAATGTAAGTGAATATTTGCAGAGAAAACCGATAATTATCAATGTTGAATCACATTACAGATATATTTTGCTATGGCAAATATATTTCCTACGAAATCCCCTTACATGTCTAAGTAGAATAAAAGAAAATGAGGAAGCCTTTTGAGAGAAATAATAAACATTAATCTAAGAAAATAGTGAAAATTATTCTAACATACCTGCGCGGTAAAGTCAGCAGCTCCTCGAGGTGGATTGTTTTTGGAATCACCAGCGACATAACCACGACGCAATTCTTTCACAGATACATTCTTTACGTTGAAGCCGACATTATCGCCAGGTACAGCTTCTTGCAATGCTTCATGATGCATCTCAACAGACTTCACTTCAGTTGTCAGACCAACTGGCGCAAATGTAACTACCATTCCTGGTTTCAGCACACCTGTTTCTACCCTACCTACAGGTACCGTTCCTATACCACCAATTTTATAAACGTCCTGCAAAAAAATAAGAAAAAAAACTTGTAACATATGTCATAACAGCAATACTTATCTAAATACAATATCACATAGTCGAAATTACCATTAATATTTACTAAAATACTGGTACGCAAGGGAAGAAAAAGTGGGGAAAGAGTGAATATAAAGATAGGACAGAAAAGGTTAGAAATGAAAAGGTGTTAGAAAGAACAGGAAAACAGAAGACTCTAAGGAAGTCAATAAGAAATAGGCAAGATAGGTTGATAGGACACCTTCTCAGACATGCAGGTTTAGTCAGGGACATATTAGAGGCAGAAACAGGGGTTAGGAGGGGTAGAGGTAGACCTAGATTAGATTACTGTTAGCAAATAGTTAAGGATATAGGTTGTTCTAGTTTTAGGGAAATGTGAAGTTTAGCTCAAAGTAGAAAAGATGGGAGTTACGTATCCAACCAGTCTTAGGACTGACGACCTTATGATGACGATGAATACTAATATTAATAAGCACGGTATTAAATTTTTTTTTTGGATACTTTCAAGTTCTTTTAATATCTTTTTTTTTGCATCTATTACCTGAAGCGGAAGACGTAGTGGTTTGTCGGTAGGGCGGCTCGGAGGTAAAATGGCATCAAGAGCTTCAATAAGAGTCTTGCCTTCGGCTTTTCCTTCTTTACGTTCAACTGCCCATCCCTTAAACCATGGCATCTTATCTGATGGTTCGAGCATATTATCTCCGTTCCATCCCGAGATAGGAACAAAGGCAACAGCGGCTGGATTATAACCAATTTTCTTAATATAAGATGACACCTCCTTTTTAATCTCTTCATATCGGGTTTCTGAATATGGCGGCTCTGTTGAATCCATTTTATTTACTCCCACAATCAGTTGCTTAACACCCAATGTAAATGCAAGTAGCGCGTGCTCACGAGTTTGTCCATTCTTGGAAATACCCGCTTCAAATTCTCCCGTACCTATCAAAAAAATGCTGTAACTACGTTTTTCAATAACAAAACATAAAGCTATTTATATTATTTTCATAAAGTATATTAAAATATACATATATTCCCCTATGGTTCACATGTTAAGCATTGACTTCCATATTTCGTAATTTCGTAGGTTCTATTGCTATATAGTATATATGTTAGGGTCAAAGTCCGCCGACGACCATTACTAGTCGTAGACGTTTGAAGAGTAGTATAAAATGACCATGGCTAGCATAGCATTAAATTTTATTTTTATTAAACAAAAAGAAAGGTCTTGCCCCAACTAACCACAACAGTTTAAAAACAACGCGGACACGTGTTTCGCTCACTTACACGTTGTGCGCTTTTTGTTCGTCAGCCAATTTGAGAACTAGATTTTTTTCTGACATGACTATAAAAGTAACATAGAACTACTCCTCTTTCCTTTTCTGACGGAAATCCTAAACGATTGCAAGCGAAATTAATTTTCATACGGAATCAGAAGTTTACAAAAAAAAATTATATGAAAAACGAGTCTTTTGAGAGCGAATTTATTAAGAAATATTCGTTTAGGTCATTCTACTCCACAAAAAAAAAATTAAAAAAGAAATTATGATTCGAATTTAGAGATATTTTTTATTGTCACGGTATTAAAGTAAATGTAACAGACGAAACTCTCATTTTTACAAAATCACATTGCTAACCGAAATTCATAAATCAGAAGAACAAATTATCACAATACTTAAATATCATTTTGTTTCCCGTGGTCGCGGCAAACGCAAGTAATATTTCAGATATATTGGAAAAGTTATAAAAAAGTCAATATTTTACCACCTGGATTTGGCAATCAGACGATATACCCAAAAGTACATTTGGTCATTGGAAATATTCTAAGAGGTTTACAAAACGAATTTTGTTTTGTTTATTTAGACGATATTTTTAGTAGGTCATTAGAACATTTAGACCGCCATAAGAAAATTTTTGCATGTTACGGTAATAAAATTACAAAATTGAAATGGATAAATACACTCCTTGTGCTTTTAAAATTAACTTCAGGTCATATAAGTTCTAGAGATCTTTTAATTTCAATAGGCGCAACATATTTTAGATATTGACTTGTAATTCATAACGACAAAATAACAGTTACCTATTATCAGAATAAATCTGAAAATAAAAAATAAAAGTTCTGGAAAAAAGAAATCAAAGATGAAACACATCAGATCAAAATTGGTCAAACTGTTTGTAACGATAAAAATGAAAATAAATTTAAAGAACACAATGAAATTATCGAACTATTAGAAACTAATAAAGTTAAGGATAAAAGTTAATTCAATAACGAGACAAAAACTATACACGTAAAAGAATCAAAAATACCTCTTGTTTTACATACCCCTGACCTGCATAGCAGCAGCAGTAACTGCTAACTTTTACAATCTAAATAATAACCCTGGAACTATACCACTTAAATTAGGTATAGCATATCAGTCACTGGTGGTCTCCTGCACAAATGTTTGATGATAAATTAATTCGCAAAGCTCAAAACAATAATTGAAAATTGTACGCAACACAAACATGAGTTTTATAATTCCTACATTTTAATTACGACGGTACAAAATAAAATAAATACTCAAATATACTAAATCAATCCTATTTATAATAAACGAAATTAAAAAGGTTTGGTTAATGGTTTATGATCAATAATAAAATCTCTTGCCGGAAATTTAGGCACTGAGGATGCTGAAAAGCATAATAAGGCTATATCTACACTGTCTTCGAAAATCAAAATCTAATGAGTAATAAGTGATAATCCTACAAAATTCTATTCAAGCATTATACTTTTGACGTATGACCAAATAACTGTAAGGAACCGTATTGTTGGAATACGTGTATTTTGCTTTTTCTACTTTTATAGGTACTTTATTAGTTTAACAGTTCGTGCAATTTCGTCTAGTTATACTAATCTTGCTTTGTAATACCATGGTATGTATCTCTATAAACCGATGTTGAGTTTGCGCTATGGTTTACGTGCTGTATTCGCGACACATCAGAAATGTGAACATTGTTATTGTCTGTTATTAGTTCCACAGTTCTCCTTTATTGTTATGTTAACTATTCTTCTTTTATTTAGCAAATATTATTGTCGTAACAAGGAGTTGGACAATTTATTTAACACGTACCAACGAAGCCGAAAGGGCAGTTAATGAATCAAATTTATTTAACGTGGAAACGCGGCGTGATCGTCTCTTAATGCAAATGTTATTGTTTTATATATATAAATAATCACCGAATTCCAAGTATATAATTCATGACATCTTTGAAAAATTCGACGTTTCAATCACGTTTTCTAAATTAGGAACGTTGCATAATTCCTTAATAGAATCAAACGTTTTTTTTTAATGAAATTTAAAACATTACAAAACAACTACAGAAAGGAAAATTGTAATTTAATCTTATTATGGAAAATGTTTTTTTTTCTGACAAAATTATAGAGAAAAACAGTTACAATAAAGAAGACAAAATTTATTTTTGAAATCCCGTAGTTGAATGTAATGTTTAATTATTATCATTTATGCCCGTTACCTACACCTAATAATAGAACATTAAAGTGAGACCAATTTTCTTATTCGGGAGGAGCACAATTAAGCAACATTCAACGTAAGGTGCAAAGAAAGTAATATATACGGGCCAATATATTTGCAATAACATTAATTTCATTAAACTGGACGAGAACGCCCCTTGTGCAATTCAGTTAATAAATTATTGTTTCAGGCTTCTGAACGTAGAACAAGGTCAGGGTCTATCTGAATTATTCAAAAGATAATTTCATTTTTCTTAATAAGTTATCACATTATTCATTTGATTGCTATTAAAATTAACAAATTGAGGATATTTTAGAAGTCTAAACATGGCAACACGATCCTCTTTTTTGAAAGTAGCTTGCAGGAAACAACGTAAGAAAAAGACAGCCAAGACCCCTGCAGATTGAAAATGGTTTATTAAGAAAAAGGAATCAATTACTAGGTATAAGAACCTCCCATTTCGTTAAAATTGAAGAAAACTATGTATGCATATGTGTATATGTTGGGCGCAGAGACCATTCCTTCTCGCGTTTCGAAAAGTTGATAATCAGAAGTAGTTGAATCAAATCTAACCTAACCGAACCGAAGATATTTTTTGTAGGCTTAGCTGTATACAAAAGAGTACGTCTACTGTAGCCTTATGATCTTAATTTAGTCTAACAACCTAACCGAACTTAATACTTTTATTTGATTGTTTAGGATCATAACGTCACGAAACAACAACCAAAGGATATAAAAAAAAACAGATCAAAAATGGATTATATCATTATATTAATATCAGTTGTTTCATATTTTAAATTTTAATATCGCTGTTATTCTATGTAATGTGATACATATTTGTTTTCTTGTACATAAACTTACACTTGGTGTAGTTCAATTTCAATTAAATAGTTCCACGAACCGTTTTATATTTATTGGACAATTTGTAAACAATAACTGGATTTACCAATTGTTGTGAATGTTTTTTCACTTTTATACCTTGTTTCTTAGATTTTCAACTACAGCTCAACACTTACCTGCAGCAACTATAAGAACAGCACAATCAGCCTGCGACGTGCCCGTAATCATGTTTTTGATGAAATCTCTGTGGCCAGGAGCATCAATAATTGTGACATAATATTTGGACGTTTCAAATTTCCAAAGAGCAATGTCAATAGTAATACCACGCTCACGTTCGGCCTTCAACTTGTCTAAAACCCAAGCATACTTGAAGGAACCCTTGCCCATTTCCTGAGCTTCCTTTTCGAATTTTTCGATGGTACGTTTGTCAATACCGCCGCATTTGTAGATTAAATGGCCAGTAGTTGTAGATTTGCCTGAATCTACGTGTCCGATTACGACGATATTAATGTGAATCTTCTCTTTGCCCATTCTGATTTCAATTTACAGCAACCTCTGAACGAAACATATTTTAAAAAGATAAAACAAAATATACTGAAACAAATCAAAATATGTATTCGACTTTTTTATAAAATCAGTTTTGTACATAATTACAATAAACAACCGGTACCTATGCATCTTCAAGTCATTATTTGGCTCGGGTTTAGTTTACTGCGGCATCGTAACCGAAATAATAGCGGAGGTGGTAAGGTGCGGAAAAAAAAATTGTAAACAAAAGTACACAACCACCTCAAAGAACACAAAGTGAGTGTTGCCTTTTTCTACCGTAACCTTATGATAATAAGTAATAAATGAAACCTTTAAAATTGTAAATAATAATCACAAAAAAAAATTTTTTAGGCTTCCGCACCTTCCTCCCAGATTTTCTTATCCTTTCCTTCTCCATCCCTTCCTCCACCGTCTTCGTTTCGATGCCGCAATAAGCCAAACCCGACCCTATAATTTTACTATTTAAAAATTTCTTAAAATCACCGTTCACATAGTAGTTAAAACAAAATATATCGACGATATTTGTGAGTTAAATTAGTTTTGGAGTAAGTTCATGTATTTTCTCTGAAATATTTACGTTGTACTTATAACTTACCACGATGACATATTTTTACATCAAATCTTATTAGGTTTGAAAATTTTGAAAAGTATTTTTTGCACACCTTACAAGTAACATTCGAATTCGCCATCACTTAAATGCGTCTTTCGTGTCTTTGAACGTTTGCACGCATATACTAATTAAATGTATGGTATAAAATGCAATAAATTTGAAAACTGAATTTTTAAAATATTTACTTCAACTGATTATTTTAGCTTATGTACATTTTATATTATAATTATACGTCTATCAGATAATACGCATGCGCAAGCAAGGGAGTCAAAGTGGAATTGGTCCCCCTAACGTCTTGTATCGTAAGCTTGTAATTTATATCGCTGTTTGGAAAGAATATTTTTGCAAAACTCCACTGTTAAAAAAGAATAAGACTATGACTCCAGCGGAGACGTTCGAGATATACAGGCCTGGAGCCATCCCCTCTTTGTCGCTGTTACGTCATGCTCTCAGGCCTAGCACCTCGTAACATTTATTAAATTTTACATGTTTTCATGATTACACGTAAATTCTACGTAAAAATTTTTAATAAACAGTTTTCTCTGGTTAATTCAATAGAAATTGCAATTGATTTATGTCATTAATTTTATTTCAAATTGTTTTGATTCTAGAACTCTGAAATATACCACAACGCATAAATATAATACCTTAGAGTCGGCCTAAGTTTGTGACGTCACTGAAGGAGGGTGTAGGCTTGGAATATCTCGAACTTCTCACTCCAGCTCCTTTCAGACGCAAGTGTGAAGTACAGATACTATACAGGATGTTTCTAAAATAAGTAGCAAGCTTTGGAGGGTGTTAACTAGATGCAATAAGGAATCGCATGTTAAAACCAAAAGAAATGAAATATGGATACTGTTTATTAGCAGCAGCAATGCTGTATTTTCTTGGGTGCTCCTACCAGGACCGGACTAGCCGTTGACTGTACATTCAAATACGTTTTTCTCGAAAATGGTCCTTATCTCAATTTGGTGCATACGTAGAGACCTATGTTACTAATTCACGCCGAGGACCGGCTTAAGATTGTAACTTGTAATTTTACTTACAAATAAATATATGGATACGACATATGACCTGTCCTTGGATTATAAGAGAAAGAGAGAGTGAGAGAGAGGGGGGGGGACTCGTAACTATTTGTGCAAAGGTGAAACCAATTTCCTACTAATTCAATTTGAACATAGGCATATCTAACGTTGTATTTTTTTTTAAATTACATCTTCAATTTTTAATTTCTTGACAAAAAAACATTGTAATGAAGATATATATTTGTGGACGTCATTAGAAAACCACTAGTTATTCATGTTAATGAAAACTTTAAACACCTTGTTTATTGCTTTAAAATCAAACTGAGTATGTATGTTTATACTTCATTCAAAGTGGTACTGATAGCATTAAATCGATTAAACCTCCTTTTTAGATCACTATTTCATAAACTGTAAAAAGAACAATTTACGTTTACCACAAATACTAGCATGAATATTTTTCATCCACTAATCGCTCAGAAATACATAAAAACAAACCTGGTGACACTTTCAGTGTTTGTTACCAAAGTATGGCGGATACTCCAATTTGAGCTTTACTTTCGACTACAGTCCAATGTGAATGAATGAGTGAGTGAGTGAGTGAGTGAGTCTCGAAGTCCCCTAGCTTTCATAATATAGTTCAATATAAATATTACGAGTCCCCTCTCTTTCATAGAATAAGAATCTGTGCACTAGAGATGAGTATAATCGAATGATTTTGAGCAGGGTTTATATAGGAGGTGAAATCAATCCCATAGCAAACGATGACACACTCCTTGCATACTTCTATTTTCTCTGATAAGGCGACGCATCCATTCATGTCCATGGTCCGTACAAACGGTGGCTCTATCAAAGATATTGTGCATGAGGATATTTAAAAACAATTTCTTTGATGAAACTTTCTCCTAAGATTTTTCTTTCCTCTCCCTTCCTATCAGATCTTCCACTCCTTGACATTACGGTTAAATTCGTTACCTACTAAATATAAAGGTATTACTATTATCACCCGCCATTTTGTGTCCAACCAACAGAAATAATAGTGGTAAGCATCATCGACGTTTATTAGTAAACGTCGATGGTGGTAAGTATATTTCATTTCTATGCTTCCGGTCTTATTAGTTATATTGTGGTTGCTTATATAACTGCGTGAGAGGGGAGATGGACGAGAACAGACATGCGCTCTAGCGGACCAAAAAAGAAAGTATGCAAGTAGGGTGCCACGATTTCCAGCCGTCCGATTTCACCTGTTTCATCCACCATGATTCTGTCAATTGAAAAGTCGTCACTGGAATGGTATTAACAATCGAACAATTATTCGAATGATTTTCTTCAGAATGATGACGTCACATTTGTGATTTGAAAACTATACATGCATTCGAGCGATTGCCGTTACATTATGACTAATAATTCAGCATCTTAGACATAATAAAAGTATTTTGTTTGGAAGTTCCTTAGAGAAGCGATTTTAATAATGGCATATCTAAGGATAGACCCTTTAATAATTTTTATAATTAAT